ACTGCTGCAAAGTGTATTATCCCATCAGCTCAAAAAATGAAAACACATGAAATGAGCTATTTCCATCTGAAAAGAAAATAGTTTTTATTTATGCAAGTAAATCTTATCTGGTTATAATTATATATAATTTAACCAGATGAAAATAAATTCATGTGTCATCCATAACTGAAACAAGGTGTGGGATGATTTTTTAAATCAATGCAGCTCTGAAAATTAGAAATTTCACAGGGAGAAGAACAAGTTGCTTTTGGTTTTATTTTATGTGAGGGATACTCTGATGCAAGGAGAAGATTTTGTTTTGGTTTAACAGCTGTTATATGTAACTTATGAATTGCAAAGTTTTCAGACACAATTCCAAAATTTGCTTAAGTATTTCTCCTACAACTAGTCCTTACTTGCATGACTAGTCTTACACTAAACTATTCACATGAATAGAGGCCGCAATATCAGGCCCTGTAAAGAACCAATTAACAAGGTCTTCAGTCATCACAGATTCAATATTGACAGTCTGTTCAGTGATTCCGCTACACATCTGGTACCTTACAACTGTCAACATTTGTATATCAGGGTAGATGCCCATAGATCCATATGCTTGCACTGTGGCTTGTTTTCTTCCCTTCTCTTTCAGCTACAGGGGCTTCAGTCCCAAAACACTCACTAAATCTGTCAACACCTTCACTCCTCTGTAACAAAAGCCAATGTCTAAAGTTCATCAGTTGCATCAGCTAATCATATTTCGGAGATTTAGTTGTGTGGTGGCCATCCACATAATGATCATTCTGTAGTACAGTGCTTTCAGTGATTTAATGTTTGTGAGCCAAAGAATCAATAGCACTCATTTTACTTACCATGCCCCTTAAAAACAGCATTAGTCACACTTTATTTCATAGATGCATAGATTCAACTCCTCTGGGGATCCCAAAAAAGATACATTAAGAATAAAGTTTCAGTGACACATACAGGAGGTAGATAAATATTTCCCACCTGTTGAGTGCACTGGGGGAAAGAATAATAAAGCAATATTAGGCTTTGTATACCAACAACCCTTTGCTGACTCTGCATCTTGAGCAATATTATGAGTGCAGATTCTAATGAATGTCTCTGTGATTTGGCAAAGCAAAAATGTGGTCTCAATTTGGAACTGATTTCAGCAAGGATGAAGCAGGATTAAGAAAAATGCATTTTGATTTCTCATAAGGTTCTCACTAAACAAGCTGATGTAAATATATGGACCCTGTAGAATCAATATTTTGTTAAAGCAACGAATCCTTTGCCTGAAGGCACAAATAATTTTTGTGCCAAAAAACCTGTTAATTATACAGACACGTATGATTCTTATTCCTTGCACATTCTAATAAGGCCTACTAAAGCAATCATATCTGTTCTTTGGTTTAATCAAAGGAGAACAATGTAACACGAATTATAATGCATATTAAAAAAATTTAAAAAATTATTCACAGATTAAAACAAATCTCTAACATGCTATATGATACAGACACAAAAACCCAAGTTTTTCAAAGTTTAACAGAGCCATTTTACTATATTACTCTACATGACACCACTTTAATGTAGAACATAGTGCCATGTTATTCTGCAATAATTATATATATTAAGGTCAGGACGTAATCCTCCTTGCTACAATTAATGCCCTCCACAAACCTGAACATTTACTCGTATGTGATAGACATGTAAACAAAAGTCAGCCTGGTCTGCGGAGGTAATAAGACTACAACGTAAACAACATTCAGAAATCATTCAAACAGTAATATGACAGAATGGCTAATATTCACCTAAATTATCTCCATGCATTTCAGTAGCTAGAAATAAAGTTTTGTCAGGTGCATGCTAAACTCTCAGTTCTGCATATCATATGCTATGCTTCTACTAACCTACAAAGCTTACCCATGCTGAAGGATTACAGAAGTAAAACAAGCTGTTTATGGATGAACTTAGTTAACTTCTCGGGTGCTGACACATAGTGTACATTCAGGGGCTGGGCACCATTAATTTTAATGAAAGACTAGGATATACATCCAGAAGTTTTTATAGATGATGCGTTAATGGATATGCCTCATACTTCCTCAGGGCACTAAATTAGTACAATGGCAAACCCAGAATTAAACTGCTTGTATTAGTAACACAATATACCTAATAAACATTTTTGTATGAAGGAAATCAAAAACAACTAGAACAATTAAAATGAAATCAGGATAAAAATGCAAAGATAAGTAAATATAAAGCCATTTTCCTTGGATTGTACAAAAACAGTTCTCACTGGTTCACTGTCTTGTGTTGTATGGAAAGTAAAAGAATCAAAGCAAAAAGGAAAGAGAAGAAAAAGGTATAGGGGATGAGGAAAAGATGACACATGCCAAACAAATATCATGCATAGTCACCATATACCATGAAGCACGAGATTTAAATATCCGGCGCTTGATTTGCATGTTCCCGGTCGGTCGCCATTTTAGAAATTGACTAGCCTGAAGTAACTGCCCGCGTCTACACGTGACAGTGAAACGGGATTCCGATTTAAAGCCCTAACTCGAATTAGCTGATATTCCTCCTGCAATGAGGTTTACCAGCTAATTCGATTTAGGGGCTTTAAATCGGAATTCTGTTTCACTTCCGCGTGTAGACACGGGTAGTTAATTCGGGCTAGTCAATTTCTAAAATGGCGACCGACTGGGAACATGCAAATCAAGCATGGGATATTTAAATTCCGGGCTTGATTTGCAATTTTGGACGCCCTCATTAGCCTCCCTAGATTGATCTAGGGGGCTAGTGTGGATGTACCTTAAGTGATTCATGTGTGTCCATGTTGACAATGTTGTACTTCACAGTGACCTAAAATGGGTCAGGATGCTGAGGGAAGACAATTTGTTATAAAACTTGTATGCTCACAATAGCCTTGTGAAGGAAAAGGAACGTAAGTGGCTCAGAAGTATATTATATATAAAGATTGTAATTATGTTCTGTGCCATTTGTTGGGTTGTATCTCTTTCAAATTACCAAGGACATTAATTATATGTTTTGTTGAACGGAGGCCAAAAGGCCAGTTCTGTCTTCAGTTATATCCATGCAAGTCCCTCTGAGGTTCCTAAGTTTAGGACCCATGTAAACCAAGCATCTTTTTTCTATCCAGGCTCCTGGATTCTGTATTTATGCACAAGTATTTGCCTCAGTCAGCTGATAACTTACTATCTTTCTTATATGTTATCATTCAAAATTATGTGTCTGAAATGTAAAAGCCAAAAAAAACTATTGGATTTAATTATTTATTTATGGTTTGGGGTAGTCTATTATTCAAAAGTTAATCTTGTAGAACAGAGACTCCAGTCAATAGCGGCTCATTCAAGACTCTGTCTTTCAGCCTTTGTTGGACAAGTTTTCTGTTATGATTGGCAATGCTGACCTAACCACCAAGTTATTGTTTTTCTTTAGAAATTTATTTCCTATTTTCTTTTGGGCCAAATCCTGAAGTCCTTGCTTAAGCAATGCTCCCAGGGAGAGCAAGAAGTTACACCTTTGTTGAAGACTGAATAAAAGATGCATAAAAACAATGGTGCTAGAACAACTATTAGAGTGTGGGTGAGGAGGGTAGAAGCCATGTGTTTGGGTTATTATTCCACCCGGGCCTACTTCCCTCTGGCACAAAAGGTAATCCTGTCACCTTCCCTTTTATCCTGGTTGGAGCTAAGTGGTCCATTTACCAGCATGGTTCAGAAGTATCTACCATGAACCTTAACACAGGCGTTTAGCACAGGAACTTAAGCTGGCTCAACAAAACACTTCACTATTTTTATGCTGACCTTCTGTCTCTTTGGGTACGTCTACACCTGCACCCTAGTTCGAACGAGGGATGCAAATGTAGGCGACCGAAATAGTAAATGAAGTGGGGATTTAAATATCCCGCGCTTCATTAGCATAACCTCACCCTCGGGCTGTTTCGGAACTCAGCTGTTTCGAACCAGGAAGTGTGCTCCGGGCCACGGTAGTTCGAATCAAACCCCTTGGTTCGAACTAATGTTACTCCTCACTTTTTGTAATGTTAGTTTGAACCAAGGGGTAACGTTAGTTCGAACCAAGGAGCACACTTCCTGGTTCGAAACAGCTGAGTTCTGAAACAGCGCGCGGGCAAGATTATGCTAATGAAACAAAGGATATTTAAATCCCCGCTTCATTTACTATTTCGGTCACCTACATTTGTGTCCCTACTCTGAACTGGGGTGCAAGTGTAGACATACCCTTTGTTACATTCTCCATTTACTGCTAAGAATTTAAAACAGTTCCTTCTTTTTGCTGATGTAATTCTGTGCTAAAAAAAGTTGTATGTGTACATACCTGGCCTTTCAAAAGGTTCATCGTATACATCTGTCTATCCAATACTCATTGCAATGTGATGCCCTGCACTGTCACTCTCATAGTGACACCGCCCTCCATCACTTGATTCTCTGCTTTTCTGACAGGCATTTTTACATTTTCTGCCCTACCATCCCTTACAAGTAGAAAATGTTTCCATTCTAAATCCACAAAACCTTATCCATAATGTTCCATCCCAAAATTTACTTCACCCCTAACGCAATCAATTATAACCTGAGCTAGGCTAGGAGGGGGTGAATTGTCAGAACTGCTCCTGTCTGACAAAGAATTGTGCACATCCTGTCATTGTTGCCCTGTCTCCCCTTTGCTCTCAGCCATCTCATTCACCTGTTATCGCTTTTCATTCAGACTACGGGTTGAACCTCTCTAGTCCAGAACTTCCTGGTCTGGAAGCATCCGTCATCTGGAATGTTTTTAGTTAGCCAGATGTCCACTTTTCGTGGGTGTGGCAAAGTTTCCCACAGTCCCATAAAGTTTGTTTATAACCACCAGTCCTAGCCCTCAGTGTTCTGTGCTGTTATTTAGCTCTAATTTTCCTCTAAATGTCCGATACCATCCCAGTAAGCAGTGGCACTGTTGGTAATGCTGCTAGACAATACTGACCTCCCATGGTCCAAAAAATTCTCTGGTTCAGAACCGGTCAGATCCTGAGGGTGCCGGACTAGCAGGTTCAATCTGTATAAGCTCTTTCGGCAGGGACTGAGACTTCATATATGTTTCAACAGCACCTTGCACAATGGGGCCTTTATAATCAAGCACAATAGAAATGTTAAACAACAACGAGTAATTCATAACATATATTCCAGTGGTAAGAAATAAGACTCCAGCACCCCTGTCCATGAGCTCAGAGGCTCTCAATCTATCCAAACAACTGTATCCCTTTCAGGATTCTGATTTGTCTTGCATACTCCCAAGTTATACATCACTTTAAAACTGCTTACTTACAAAAGCAGAAAAAACCACATAAGTGTCACAGCACACTGTTACTGCAAAATTGCTTACTTTCTAATTTTTACCATGTAATTATAAAATAAATCAATTGGAGTATAAATATTGTACTCACAATAGTGTATAATATACCGCTCAGTGTACAAAAGTCATTGTCTGCATGAAATTTCAGTGTGTACTGATTTGACTAGTGCTTTTTTATTTAGCCTGTTGTAAAACCAGGCAACTATCTAGACCAGCTAATGTACTTTCTGGAAGACCTCTGTGTACCTCTAGGGATACATGTACCACTGACTGAGAACCACTGCCTAGCTAAAAAACAATAGGAAAAAAATCTACAGCAATATGGCATTGTCAATGTCAAAATTTACTGTGTTTTATTACGGGTTGAAGATTTGGAGATTAATGTACATGGCAATTTTCTGTTAGCTTTCTAATATGGTATCATTTAGGTCAGAGTTAAATCTCTATTATCTAGGGAGATTTCCTAACAAGTATATTTATTATTTTTTGGCATCAAACTTAACAGCCTTGTTCTCTGCTGTCGGAGGTCTCCCATCTATATAATGTTTTTCCATTGTACTGCAGCACAGTTGATTGGTCTTCCCCTTGCAGCTTGTAAAATAAGAACACATGACATCACACAGTATGTGTGCTCCTAAGCAAACTTCCAGAAAGATACCCATGAACAATGTTTGCTGAGAATTGTTGACACTTCCCATAAATGTGCTAGCTGCTAGTGTGGGCTTGCATACCCATTCACCTAATATTGAAGCTTGACAGTAATGTAGTAATGTTTATTCAGCATGTCGGGGAAGGTGGTACTTAAAGAGATGGGCACGAGCGAGGCAGGTGGAACCTGGAAGTCTTTTCCATCAGCATCAATAGCTGCCCTTTTTACATACCAGCTGTGTGGGAAATTGTAGATTAACTTTATCATGAAGACTTCTAGGAATGTAACGCTTTTGCCAGTGGGCTATGAAACATATACTGGAAGTGACCATTAGAATAACAAATCTGATCACAGTTCTAGCCAAGATATTTATATCACATATCCAGCTAATTCAGCGTGCTCTCTAATGCCTCATTATGTAGGCATTTCTTTAACCAAAGTGATTAAACTGAGGTAGGATGCTGATGGGGATCGTCCATCTGAGACAGCTTCATCCAGTATAAAAATGCATCTGAACATGAACTGGCCTGATGATTCATTTATCCTTTCATGTTAAAAAAAAATTCCTTTAAGGTTTTCTATGACTGTCATACATAATGAATAACTTTGGCAAAGCAAGGGCTAGTTCTGGTACCAAATTTGTGTGCCAAATAACTATTCATTTGTTTGGATATTCTGTGTAAAGAAATGTAACAAAGTAAGATCTGTTAATCCATTTGCCAGTCCTATTGGTCACGCATGCAAGGCAAAGATATGTGGCGGTTCAGTGATTTAGGAAAACCTCACAAACCCAACGATGCCTATAGTAATTTACTCACCTTGATCATGATTTATTCTGTCAGCGAGGTGCCCCATTGTAGCATCAACCTTTGTTGCAGCTTTTCTTCAGTGTTCATGTTTGTTTCTTTTGTTTTCTGTTGCCAGCTACAGCTCTTTGCTGTGAGCCCTCTCATATTATCAACATCCGCTAAAGTAAGCCCTGAAGTGAAAAGCTGAAGCTACAAGACATTCCCCAAGTGAGTCTCACTACAACAGAGTGCATCTGTATTTCCAAGAAAATATACTTCTGATAATGAGCACAACTTGTAGCAATTATAAAACTTGGTTTCTTTCTTCTTATTGGCTCCCAGCTAAGACAATTAAACACACCCTCATTGTAATGCTTTTACTGCTGACCCTTCCCTTCACATCCATGTTCTCTCCTGTTCCATTGACATTCTATTGAAACTGATGGAATGGCAAGGTGTCCCTTGTTCATTTGGAGGTATGTTCTGCTGGCGATATCTGCAGCAGCAGGCAGCCCTTGAAGTTGTAGACTGATGGGTATATTTATCATGGTGAAGAATGCCTGGCTGTGTGTTTTGATTGTTCTTAATGATATGCCAGCCAGGAGTTAGAGATAAATTCTGCTTGATGTTCCTGTTAATACAAGGCAGCAGTCAACTTTGCACAGGCTTAGCACTTGTAGATAATGTCCTCATTTGGAGTATAAGCTCTTTGAGCCGGAGATTGTCTTTAGCTCCATATTTGTACAGTGCCTAGCACAATGGGGCTGTGATCCGTGACCACAGTGTAAATAATAATCTCTCACTCACGCACATAGACACACACACACACACACACACACACACGCTCCAAAATATACTTTATGTATCTGATGCAAGAATAATTCATAATTTGTATAGAAGACAGGACCTTTTAACAAGTGGGTAGTCTGATGGCAGACAAATCACACCAAATAGCACAATACTTTCCATTATACATAAATCACCACATTTAAAATTGTTATCATCAGATTATGTGGATGCATGACTCACAGCCACCTCCCTGTCTACAAAGAATCACTCTTTAAGCAGGCTGCCACGCGCCTACTGCACCTGATTGTCTCATCGGCACATTCCAGCTAACAAAGGCAGGCAAGCCGAGGCAGAGCCGGGGACACTGATACACTTGTTCTATCCCCACAGGTGTAGCAGCGTGCTGTTTTGAAAGCTTTCTGGGTGTAGGCGTTGGAGCTGCATTCTTTCTTTAATTTGTATTCACTTATTTTTTGAGGCAGATGGTACGGCAGCCAACACAAGAGTGCACAAAATCTTCTGTTTGAAACAAAGACCACAAAGCTCATACCATTACAGCAAACCCAGTCCACTTGGTCACAATGGGGAGAAAAAGAAGACAAATCACTGCTTATCCTTCCCAACCTGATAGACAATATTTTCTTCAAGTACTGGTGGAGCTAACAGAAGACAGGGTGAGATGTATTCCACATACAGTTCCATAGGAATATATATTTTATGTATAATCCATACTTGTTATTACTTATATGGTAGTACAAATGTGCATGGTGCTTTACAGGCAGATAAGTAAAGAAGGAACCAGATTTTCATCTTCTTATGTCACAGGTTTTAAGGTCATAAGAGAGCACTATGATCATTCAATCTGGACTCCTATATAACACGAGGCAAAGAATTTCACTTAGTATCTAGTGTGATCCCAAAGTTCCAACCCTAAAAACCCTACCATCTTTTAAATTAGTGCTTTTGCAAGTTTTTGGATTACAGTACTGCCAATTAATATCCTCCATTTAGTTATAGAACTGCAATATACCACATGCAAGGGGCATCAGTATTGAGATGAAATAACTACCTTTAGCACATGAGGGGTTCAGTCATTCTACCAGCCCATTCAGTCCTTAGTCTCTGCTGAGACAGCCAACAAGATTTCCGATGGTGTTTCTTCTGATATATCTACTTGGAACTGGATGTAAGTCAGCAACTCATTTCTTATGAAAACAGCCTGCATAGTTGGAATTGTTCTGAAAAATGATTCAGCCAGTCAGAAGATTAGAAGGACTATTTGATGCCTACAAAATGATGACCAAAGCAAATTACACACTGCTAATTTGTCAATAAAGGGTATTATAATTGTGAAGTGTAATTTGCTAAATTTAAGTTCACAATTCCCATTAAAAACAAATGCAACTTGTGTGTCTGTCATGCTGAGCTGAAAATTTGCCCCCAGATTTATTTCAGAAAGTATGCATAATGGGACAGTTTCCTGGAGTTGCACCTATTTTAAAGCCAATTTTAAATAAAAAACAGCCTTCTTTTGCAGACCCATAAGTGCTGTTATCTTACACTCATTCAGATAAGTTACCTTCAGCTTTTCTGTCTGCACATGCAGAGAAACAAATCCAACCCCACTTCCAATGCAAGTTTAGACAACATGGTTAAATTAACAGTTTGAACATTAGAAAAGAGATTAGGATAATTAATGCCAAGATGATAGAACTAGGAGTGTTTTGTACTATAGGTAGGGCCACTGTTTGGGAGGTCAAAAGAGAAGTTTTACCATCAGCTTACAACACGTACTAACAGCGAAGCTTAAAAAATAATTTCTTACTTCCCTGAAAAACAGATAAATAGCTTAAATAAAAGCTTTTTTTTAAAAATGGATGCCAAAAGTTGGACATCTAATCTCAGATTTATATATGACCTGATTTTCAAAAGTGCTGAGCACTTAACAGCTTCAGCGGAAGTTGTTGGGTGCTAATAACACCTCTGAAAAGCACACTATTTGGAGAGCTATATAAGGCTAAATGAGATCAGGGGAGAAAATCAACCTAAAATATGCAACTCCAGCTATGAGAATAGTGTAGCTAGAGTCGATGTACATAAGGTCAGATTCCTGCAGCATCCCCACTGCAGGTGGTCAGCCGGAAAAACTCTCCTACGATTTCCCTTACTCCTTATGACTCGATTGAGTACCAGGGTAAACGGGAGTGCCATTGGCAGTTGATTTAGTGGGTTCTTTCTAGACATGCTAAATTGAGCCCTGGGAGTTCCATCTCTGCAATGTCGATCTCCAGGTAAGTGAAGACAAGCTCCTTCCATTTTTAGATACCCCACTTGAGAGACCTTAGAAAGACCTACTATTCAAAGGGTAGGTACTTGAAAATCAGGTCTACTGAAATTGTCTAGGGTAGGACTCTCAAAAATCACGGCACCCAAAATCATTAATCATGTTTCAAATCTTAGCCTTCAGTTACCTGACTTTTGACATCCAAGTATGAACATTTTGGCCTGGAGAATAATTAAAGCAGAAAAGAAAACAAACATTTTCCAAGCTGTTGAGTGAGTCCTGAGACAAGAGCAATCAGAAACACAGTCAGAATCATTCTGCAATTTCCACTCAGGAGCAGATGCTTGAAATCTCTCCATTATATCCCAGGGCAACATTATCATAGAATCCTAGGGCTGTAAAAGATCTCAGGAGGTCATCGAGTCCAGCCTCCCGCCCAAAGCAGGACCAACCCCAACTACATCATCCCAGCCACTGTTTTGTCAAGCCAGGACTTAAAAACCTCTAGAGATGGAGATTCCACTACCTCCCTAAGGAACCCATTCTAGAGCTTCACCGCCCTCCTAGTGACATAGTTTTTTTCTAATATCCAGCATAGACCTTCCCCATTGCAATTTAAGACCATTACTCCTTGTTCTGCCATCCATCACTACTGAGAACAGCCTCTCTCCATTCTCTTTGAAGCCTCCTTTCAGGAAGTTGAAGGCTGCTATCAAATCCCCTCTCACTCTTCTCTTCTGCAGACTAAATAAGCCCAAATCCCTCAGCCTCTCCTTGTAGGCCATGTGCTTCAGCCCCCTAATCATTTTGGTTGCCCTCCGCTGGACCCTTTCCAATGCATTCACATCCTTTCTATAGTGGGGTACCCAAAACTGGACATACTCCGGATGTGGCCTCACCCATGCTGAATAAAGGGGAATAATAACTTCTCTAAATCTGCTGGAAATGCTCCTGCTAATGCACCCTAATATGCCATTAGCCTTCTTGGCTACCAGGGCACATTGTTGACTCAGATCCAGCTTCTCATCCACTGTAATCCTCAGGTCCCTTTCTGAGGAACTGCTACTTAGCCAGTCAGTTCCCAGCCTGTAACAATGCTTGGGGTTCTTTTGTCCCCAGTGGAGGACTCTGCACTTGTCCTTATTGAACCTCATCAGATTTCTTTTTGGCCCAATCTTCCAATTCGTCTAGGCCCTATCCCTGCCACCAACATATCTACCTCTCCCCCTAGTTTAGTGTCATCCACAAACTTTCTGAAGGTGCAATCCATCCCCTCATCCAGATTATTAATAAAGATGTTGAACAAAAGCGGCCCTAGAACCAATCCTTGGGGCACCACACTTGAAAATGGCTGCCAACCAGACATTGAGCTGTTGATCACTACCCATTGGGCTTGACAATCTAGCCAGCTTTCTATCCAGCCAGCTTTCTATCCACCTTACAGTCCATTTAATATTGTGAGAGACCATATCAAAAGCTTTGCTAAAGTCAAGGTATATCACATCCACTGATGTCCCCATGTCCACAGAACCAGTTACCTCATCATAGAAGCTGATCAGATTGGTCAGGCATAACTTTCCTTTGGTGGATCCATGTTGACTAGTCCTGATCACTTTCCCCTCTTCTAAGTGCTTCAAAATGGATTCCTTGGGGATCCTCTCCATGATTTTTCCGGGGACTGAGGTAAAGCTGACCAGTCTGTAGTTTCTTGGAGTGTCCGTCTTCCTTTTTCAAAGATGGGCACTACATTTGCCTTTTTCCAATCATCCGGGACCTCTCCCGATCTCCACAAGTTTTCAAAGATAATGGTCAAAGGCTCTGCAATGACATTTACCAACTCCCTCAGTATGCTTGGATGCATTAAATCCATCCCCATGGATTTGTGTATTTCTAGCTTTTCTAAATAGTTCTTAACCTGTTCTTTTCCCACCAAGAGCTGCCTACGTCCTTCCCATACTGTGTTGCCTAGTGCAGTAGTCTGGGAGCTGACCTTCTCTGTGAAGACAGAGGCGAAAAAAGCATTAAGTACTTCAGCTTTTCCTACATCATCTGTCACTGGGTTACCTCCCTCATCAAGTAAAGGCCCCAAACCCTCCCTGGTCACCCTCTTATTGCTAACATGCCTGTAGACACCTTTCTTGTTTCCCTTCACATCCCTTCCTTTGATCCCTTCATTAGCTTCATTTGATCCTTATATAGTTCGGTCCTCAGTAATTTTCAGTTTTCTGTGTATCCTTGCTCCCCTACTTGAATCCGTCAAAAAAAATTCTCCCCCAAAAGACAAATACTTTTGTTTATTTTTACCTACCTCTGGCCTGTTTAGCTCTTCACTGCCCCTATTATATGGTCTTGGTGTTGCTCAGGCAGCTTTTTCTTCATCTAAGGGACTTGTAAAAGTGGAGGATATTTTAACAAATGGGAAGAATGTAGCCTACACACTCAAGACACCTTTCCTCCATTTTCAGAGCTGCACCTCACCATAACACAAAAGCATGTTTTGGACAGTTAAAGGATTAAAGGGATACATAGCCCAATCCAATGAATCATATTGTAGAACAGTGGCTTTCAAGCAGGGGTACACATACCCCTGGGGACACACACAGGTCTTGTAGGGGTGTCATCAACTAATTTAGATATTTCCCTAATTCTACAACAGGCTACCTAAAAATCACTAGTGAAGTCCATACAAACTACAATTTCACATATATAAATGGTTTGCTTATGCTGCTGTATACACTGTACACTGAAGTACAATATTTATATTCAAATTAACTGATTTTCTAATTACATGCTGAAAATGAGAAAGTAAGCAATTTGTCAATAGTAATTTGCTGTGATACTTTAATATTTTTATGTCTGGCTTGGTAACTAGTTTATAAGTGAGACGTGTCAAGTACGCAAGACAAATCAGACCCTGAAAAGGGTACTGTAGTCTGGAAAGGTTGACAGCTACTGTTGTAGAGCTTTCCAAAATAAAAACTTAGAAATAAAGGTAAAGAAAGCACAAATATCTGACTGAAACACGGATTTTTTTTTCTTTTGAGGATTCTTGTTCTATGTACTACAAGCTTCTGTTTAGCTACAGAAACATGTTTTATGATTCCTTCAAATCCAAACTATACGTTGGTGACCCTTCAAATTCTACAACATTCACTCATCACTATGACATAATGATCCTGGTCTATGCATGCACACTGGTATAGAGGATCTCCTGGTAGCATTTGTCAAGCTGACCACCTCTCACCAGTGTCTAGCGATTAGATTAAATTAATAGTTCACTGACTAGTGGATTTTAATTTCTGTAGCAAGATTCCCCTATCATCTATGCAAGGTGAAAACTAGCATACACAGCTTGCAGCTTGAACAATCATAATAGGAAAAGGGTTTTACAAATCAGTATTGTGAACAAAAACATGCAGGATCCTGCTAAGTGGCGTTCAGGGGTAGGGGGGCTTTCCTTTCTTTTTCTGCTAAAAGCATTATAGGATATCAAATGGCAAATATCAGAGTGACAGCTTTTGTTTTCATAATCTATTGAAAAGTTAACAAAGTAAAGAAGATATAATCATTCGGGTAAAGCAGGATATGAAGCAGGCTGGGGCTTGCACTAAAAATGCATAAAGTTATTTCACTAAAAGACAGAGGCACTTGCCCATGGCAGGTGCAAAACTCAGGCAGCGCTCTTATTGCCTCAAGAAAAGGACAAAACCTGCAGAAAATGTTGAAACATGTTCTAAGCCTCCTCAACAGCCATTCTTTAAAATAAAAAAAAAATAAATAAAAAAAACCTGAAGTTCTGTCTTCATTGTCTGCCAGCAAAGATTGTGGTTTGCAGGGCTTGGGGGAGTGCAAAGAAAAAAAATGAAGTGGGTTTTTTTGGAATCTCTGAATCAGGAGATTTTTGAGGACATGGATTCTAAGGCAGAATTTTAGAAAATGTGTTTGCAAGATGCTCTGGTGTAAACCAAAAAAAAACAATATTTGGAGTGACTCACACAACTGTCTGACTCTGTGCAATGAATGAACAAAACATGTCAACC